TGATTTTCTGGGAAGTCCAATTAGGTATAATTTTAATTGCTGACTACTTGGTGACGTAATTGTTGTAACTAAAACAATTGTATCATGTTTTAATTTCACAGGGTGTTGATTTCGAAAATATTTTCTTTCATCCACTATATACTCATACTAATACACTTATAACTATAACATTTTAATAAAAAAACCGACCTCAAAAGTTTATATAATTATCGATGGTCGGAAGAAGACGTTATGCGTTACGCGTGTGTGTGTGTGGAACACCTTTTTCCGACCATTGGTAATTATATTAAGTACTATTTGCCAAGTTTTACTGAAATTAGTTACCGGAAAGTGGTTGAAATCTAATAAACAGGTTTCATCCCCTAATTTGCCATCCTCAGAGCTACTGAGGGGTACCTTTCCAATAAAAAAAGTATCATCGAAATCGGTTCACAAATGTCGTAATAATCGCGTAATTTACACAATAAAAATGTACAGTCGAATTAACAACCTCCTCCTATTTTGCAGTCGGTTAAATAGGGTATCCTATTCGTTGCAACCATAGATATAGAAAAAAGGCAACTCAACGCTTATATCATACAGTAATACAATACTAGCTGTTGCCCGCAACTATGTCCGCGTAAAATTGTTGTATGCATTACATGTGGACTTGTACTATTAAAATACAAATGAAAAATATTCATAATAACTTTTACCTGCGACTTTGTCCGAGCTAAAGTTTGCACCTAAAAAATTAATACATTTTGCATTAACTTCATTACTACTTAGATAGGAAGGGTTACTTACTCATTTAATGTGTAAGTAGGTACGCACCTAGGTACTTATTATTCAGTCGTATGTCGGTATGCCTCTAAACCAAGTATGACGCAAATCAGAGCATGGGTTAAAAAACAGTACAAAATTTGATTCACCGTCTCTTTGGGGTTGTTTTATAAAGATTCAAGAACATATATGACAACTTTCAAGTTTGCAAATGTAAAGAATACAATTTTGTATATAAAAAGTTTTTATCGGAATTTAACTTACCCTTATTTAGGTATGTAGGGGTTGTATACATGTTTGTTTATTTAGTATTTAAAGCATCGAAACCGAGTTCTATGCAAATCAGAACACGTGTTGAAAAGTTTACATACAAACACATACAAACTTTGGTAACCCATTTCACCCCTAATTATTGGACAACATGTTACATCAACCTTTTCAGCATTATAGAATATTTACACTATGTTTCATCTTAGTAAGTTAGAGCTGTATGCGATTATTTATACAAAAACTTTTTCAAAATACTTTAATACCTTAACTTGCCCTTTTTAGGGGTTGTTTTAAAAAACCCTCAAACATGTTTGTTTGTTTTGTATTTAAAGTACCAAACCCATGTTTGGTGCGATTACCGCGCGTTAAAAAGTTCCCATATATATAAAGTTTAATCCCTCATTATACTCCTATTTAGGGGAAATTTTGAAAAAATGTCATGTCAGTTTTTTACTTATACAATAGTAAAATAAAATACTAAGTAATGTAATATAACTATCTTTGTATGTTCAAGGAATACGATTGTTCATGCAAACATTTTCACCCGTTTTAACCCTCTTAGGGTTTGAATTTCAAAAAATCCGTTCTTAGTACGCCAATGAATTGCTCCGGACTATACTCCTTTATGTATATGTTACCGGCCAAACCCAATTTCAGGATAAAATAGTTTTGCCTAGGCTAAACTAGTTCTTCCTATACGCGATAGGATTAACTAGTATAGCCTAGTCCAAACTAATTTGTCCTAAGCTTGATAGGATAAACCAGTTCGTTTCTGCCCAGAGGGACTTCCGCGTTTGTATAAAAAAAACCTAACTTAACCTAAATAATCCGATTCGTTTCTGCCCAGAGGGACTTCCGAGTTTGTATAAAAAAAAACTAACTTAACCTAAATAATCCGATTCGTTTCTGCCCAGATGAACTAGTTTGGCCTAGCCTAAACTGGTTTATCCTAATCTTAATCCTATCGCGTATAGGAAGAACAAGTTTAGCCTAGGCAAAACTATTTTATCCTGAAATCGGGTTTGGCCGGTAACATATATATAGATTACTTAATTGTTATCTTCTCGTGTCTTGCCCTTTAGACTTTTGACATCCGTGCCGTTATTTTCTCTTATAAGTACTTTGTTATTGCATTGTGTAATTCGTCCAATGACACATTATATAAGCAATTGTTTACTTATTACTTGACTGACTTACGGAGCCGAGACGTGGAATATGATGGTCAAACTGGCTCACATGCTACACGTCGTTCAGCGAGCTATGGGAAGGTCTATGCTGGGTATCTCGTTAAGGGACAAATCCGGAACGAAGTTATCATATTATTATATAACTAATAAGACTAAAGTTGTGGACATCGTCCAGAAATGTAGCAAGCTGAAGTGGCAGTGGGCTGGCCACATCTGTCGCAGAACCGATGAGCGATGGAGTAGACGGGTTCTCGAGTGAAGACCAGGTTTCAGCAAACGTAACGTAGGACATCCACTTGCAAGATGGACAGACGATCAGAAGAAGGTCGCGGGTAGTGGTTGGATGCGGAAAATGGATGATCGGGCACTATGGCGTACACTTGGGGAGGCTTATGTCTGCTATGACTGCAATAGGCTGATTGATAGATTGATTATTACTTATTAATCGATTTTTTTTTTGTGAAACTGTAAGGTCCACTGTTTTACCAACGGGGAACGGAGAAGGGCTATGTTTTTGCCACCAACGGTACTTTTTTATTTTGACTAAACAGCGAGGTGATATCAAAATAACCTTTTAATATTAATAAAACACAACAATTTTCCCTTCAATGGTCTAATAACGTTAATAAAAGATAATGTGTCTAATAACGTTATTAGTAGTACCTATGGTATATTTAATATCACAAATGGATAATATCAATATTAAGATGGCATTTAATAACATGTTTGTCTGACATAGAAAAGAGAGCAAATAGATTGGTTTACCTTTAACTTTTGTATTTCAAGGTTCATCGAATTCCACGTTCTGGTGCTTCGAGCCCAGAAGGATGGCAACATTCACTTTGGACAGCAAAACTATTATTTGGCGGAAGTAAGAAGGCACAAAGCTGTGTGAAATTGGCGTATTTCAGTTTTTTTCTATTCAAAGCCACTCTGCAGAGACGACCAACGCGTGCTTCAACGTGGAAGGAGGGTCATAGGGACTAGGTCTATCTAATAGGTATATTAAGAAATTTAGTGCATTTGGCATCGTGGTTTAGATTTCTATCGCAGGGCCCGCATTGGTTTAGTTTAGTCAAAAATTTAGTAGAAATTTCATCATCAACACATCTTGTTATTTATGTTTACATTATTTCTCGATATTGTCTTATATAGACTAACTTAAATAATGAAAATAAATAACGCACACACTCAACACTCAACAAATATGTAGATGGTTACAATATTTAATACAAATATGTACTTTTCTCTTTTTTTATATAAAGATCGCACTCAGCAGTAGTAGTCTTGTCATTCATCTCGAAACCAAACATTCAATTCTTGAATATTTTCTGTGCACATATTAATCCTTATACCCTTAGAGCGATGCTACACAACGCGTGCGCATCGGACAAGGGGCCAGGATACGAAGCAGGGAGGGGTGCTGCAGTGCAAAAGTAAGCGGCGTTACATGACGTTATGTTGCGACACGACATCGCTCGTGTGGCTCTCAGTACGTTGAAATTATAGCGTAGTAGCGACGATGCAACCCCCGTATGGCATCACTCTTAGCTTGCTACTAAACGGACTATAATAAACATTGTTATGTTGTAAATCAGATAAACTTGATTTTAAAATTTGTGTTAAGTTGTTGACATTGATAGTTATTTAATTTTGACTTATATGTTTTAAGTTGTTGACAGTTATGTGATATATTGAAATTTTTTAAGTCTGTGTTTAGCTTCTTGACATATTTAATTCTATTGTATTTTGATTGATTGAGCTTAATGACTAATTGTAATCATGAAATATTATACACCCGCCATGGGTTTGAACTGTTGTACTCAAACTACATGTAATATCTTTTTTATCAGTTCAAAGAATAAATGATTCTGATTCTGATTCTGGACTGCATGCGCGAAGTCGATATTTACTAAATACTATTGCAGTTAACGCTGCTTTCAACCAGTTATTTCAAGAGCTCAGTGTATTTGTTGGTATCGAAATGAAAGTTGTTACTTGTAGTTTATCACTGTATTCAGAGCAATAATTCGCAACGCTGACTTACTTTTAATTAAAGAAATAGACATATTACTACTGAAATCCTCAATTTTAATTTTTTAACAAATTCACGTCCTTAATCCTATACTCTGCCGTGGAATTTATGATTAAAAATGTAAACAAAGGTGCCATTACAAAAAGAATCAAACATGTCAAGTACTTATTCACTCTGGGTGGCTTCTTCATTGGGAAAAAAATCAGTTGCAGGTGAGGTCCTGCGCAATTGTTGCTATTAAATGATTTCGTGTTTATATACACGCAGGTTCTGGATTTATGAACACATTGTCTAAGGATGTCTTGATTTATCGAACAATGTTCACAAAACCCTTTGAATCTATCAGTGTCGGGTCAATGTGACGAACTTATAGTATATTCTTGATTACCTTCCTTAGGTGACCCGAGCCCAACAATATGACAAATATGAGCTAATAATGACGAAGTGAGGCCGATGTCTGACATGGAAATCAACTTGGAAGTTGTCATTACTGTGGTTGAACACTGGATTTCAATAACTTTTGCGATTTATAAATACACGATCGTTAACTGGGATTAAACCAAACAACATTTAAAATTGGAACATTATTATATTAACGTAAGTACTGACTTAACTAAATATATTAATCAAAATTTAAAGAAAAATACTTCATACATTTTTTAACCTACATGTTCAAGAAAGAATATGACTTCTGTCATTGACCTACAAGGTCAATGACTTCTGTTATATTTTATAGGAGTCTGCCTCTAACTCTAATAACATTCATTAAAAGACAGTTTTCTAGACTAGAACGCTAATTGCCTAGATACATGAAAAACATTACAGAATGCATTATTATACATTTACCTAAGCTGCAGGTATATTTACCTAAGCTGACTTAGATACTATTTCTACATTTTTTTAATTAAAACCATAGTCACTTCCAAAAGCGACTGAAAAATGAGTGTGCCTTGCAAAAGTGACCATAGTTAATTACAAAATTTTGACAATATTGAAAACCACAACATAAATTTAATATCTACAACTTCTATGGCTATATTTTTTGAGCGATGCCACACGGGCGAGCATTACGATGTCGTAACGTAACGCCGTAATTAAGACTAATCGCAGCAACCCTTCCCGCTTCGTCTCCTGACCCCTTGTTCCAAGCGCACGCGTTCCGTTGCGTCGTGCCGTTTCAACGCACCATGTGGCAACTCATTCTGATGTGTAATAAACCGCTAGTCATCGCAACGCCGTGACAACGTATCGCGTGGCATCGCTTTTACACTATGACTTCAAGGTGATAAACCCTTAGTTATAATTATTTAGTAAGCAATCTAATTTAGGGACGAAAAATACATGCTTTTCAATCTTGAATAGGTTTTTATTTAACCGTATGGACCAAATACGAAAAGGTGTAGGTTGGCCCAAACAAAATTGTTTATTTATATAATATAAGTCGTAGTAAAATTTATAAAAAATTTCACGTGACAACAGTGCACAATTTTTGTCTCCTGATGAATTAGACGCTTTTGAGATGGGCCACTATTCTAGAAAGTCATCTTAATATGAACTAAAGCCATAAGGCTTACTACAACGACGGACACTTAATCTTTTACACTACATTTAATCGTACAATTATATGATCAAAACCGACTGCATTATCGGCTCGGCATTTGTACAAACCCTCATCGAGGTTTGATACTTTTGGCAGGTAGAGGTCATTAGTAGTGCTGCCCCTGGAACATAAATAAATAAAAATTTAAATACTAAAAATACTTTATAAGTAGCAAATTTCCTCGTGAAACGCACCCTCTAGGGCATTTCTGGGGCATCTAGCCCAGAAAGCTGGCAATCGAAGGCTTCTACGAGGTGATCTGATATCTCGTTCGTTAGAAGTTTCGTTTGTGGCCCATAGGGGCCCAGGGTTTCAACCGCAAAAGGTACAAAGCTGTAGCACTGAGCAAAGTTGGCGTAAATGAGTTTTTTGCGTTTCGCGTCTGTTCTGGCGACAGAGCTTGCGAAACACACGCTTGCAAGGACATTGGAGGGGGTTACAGTGTCCACTCAGGTTGCGTTCCACACTGACTGTCTCTGACCGTCATCGTCAGTCATATAGTCACTGCGATAGACGCCAGTGGGCTCGAGAACTGCCGGTATTTGAGCACTGATGAAGGCCCGTACGATGATGCTATTGAGCGCTGCGTGTCGGGAAATCCGGCCAGCGCTTCGAGTGCACGAGACGCCACGGTGGCTAAACTCGTCAACAGCATCACCACACGTACATTTGTCGGTATGGACTGTTCTTGCCCCCAGTCGGAGTTAGTTAGTAGTAAAGAAATATAGTATACCGGGGACACCTTGTCAGAGAAATTTCTTCTAGGTATTTGTTTGCCCATTAGTATAAAACGTAATAAAGTATGTGACATATTCCCCAACTGTCGGTTATTGTAATATGTACCTTATTGCCATATTAATATACCTAGAGAAAGATAACGTGACTTTTTTTGAAAGATAACGTTACTTTTAAAGTTAACGTAACTTGTTTGAGATTTTTCTTTTTTTACAATATCAAGGACGGGGTGAACAAGTCGTGTACCTGGTCGTAAGCTACAGTCCATAACAATTGCAGTGCCACTCAGAACTTTAAACTGCAAAGATCTGAAGGGCACTGCCATTGCGCGTGTCACCCTGTGACATAAGTTCACAAGTCCCATGTACCTGTAATTTCACCAGCACCCTTAACCTTAGATACATGAAAGAGGTAATACGAGTTTTGTATGGAATTAAGTATAAGGTTTGAAATTCGAGGAACAAAAAATATTTTTCTTTTTTTATGATTGTAGATAGACGTAACGGGTTAAACCTAACACGTCTGTCCATAGCAGTTGCAGAGCCACTCAAAGCTTTAAATCGTAAATATCTGAGGGGCACTGCCAATTACTCCTTGGTGGCGGCAATTGGTAAGGTGGCAGTAATTTCCTGGCCGAACTTTCATAAGGAGCTTCAAAGACTTCATCCTAAAAAACTTTAATCGTGTACTAACAAGCCTACATATACGTATTTTGTATGAGTCAGAGACTTATCAACATAACATTAGGTATTTTTGGGTTTACAAACCACATAGATACAGGGAAATTGACGTACAAGTCAGTGCCAAGTGCGTAGTTATACATATGTAGTTATTCCATAGCAACTGCAAATGGAATGCACAAAATAGCAGAAAAAATGCAGTTGGAAAGTACGTGTTGGGCACGACTGCATGACGGTTGCGTCTCAACGCGTACTGCTCCAGCCGTTGCATCCAAACAACACTCAAACTTCGATTTTACATTTGTCAGCTACAGTGTATGTGACTATACTTCTGATAATAATTGCAATTTTTTTAAATTACATATACCTAAGTGTGCATTTTCTCTTTAGCTCATGTATAGTGACGATGAGGTCGACGATGTAGTATGCATGCACAGCTAAATAATGCCTATTCACTCTTGCCTTGAAAAGGCCTAAGTTACGCTCATGGAAAGAGTCTGCAGGCAGAGAATTCCACTCCATAGCCATTCGCGTTATAAATTTGGCAGCTTCGTGAGAATCCTTGTAGTATGGGGTGGAACTCAAGCCTACGTGAAGTCCTCCAGTGATGGAAAGGCGGAATTATTTAAAGGTGCAATTCCATCTCACATTCTCCGTGATAAATCGTGTAAAATATCGATAAGCAGATTATAAAATGTTATAAATACCTTGATAGCACTGTAACTCTAAAGTCTGCTGCTATAAATTCCCATCTTGTACTAGGTAGAGGGTTCCCGAAGACGACGTCACATTTTAATGTAATAGAACTTCCAGTTTTTAGCATAATGACATCGTTTTTTGGTCTAGTTATTATTGGACGAACTGAAAGAAGGGATTTTTTTTTCATTAGAACCTACAAATATACAAGTTAATTTGTGAAATACTAATAACCTCGCATGACTATACGAGTATAACTCCATGATGATTTAAAAAAAAAAACACTTTAGTTTCTTGACTTTTTACGAAACATAATAAATTTATAAAAAATAAACTTTTAAGTTTTTGGTGTCCTATCTGTATGGCTAGCACGACAGGGCGCGACTAAAGCGAGCGCGAGATACTGCCTTTATGTCGCT